GTGGAAAATCATCACGGAGCCGACTTCGAGGTCACGGCCGAGGTCTTGGCACGAGAATCGCAAACACCCGCACGAAAAACCCTCGAGGCATTCTGGATTCAGGTCTCTAGACCAAAAATGAACCGGAAAGAAGAGTGTATCACAATCACGCGGGAGCTGAGGCCGTATATAAGGTTAGCCTTCCACCAGGGAGTCTGAATCATATCCAGTCCGAAGAGCTTGCTGGACTGCTGCTGGTTTCTGGGTGGTCGCGGGGATCGGTCGGATCAACGGTAAGTGGCCCAACTTACAGTTGCGTGATGTTCTCTGAGATCTCGAATTTCTGTAATGTAGTTGATACGTTTGATCGGGTAATCATAAATTGCTTCGATCGTTCCAGGCTCTGAAGAAGGCGATCTACGCCGAAACGTTAGCCGGAATAAAATTTTTTATCAACCTCGTCCAAGTTCAAGCAAAGAAAACAACCATCACTGAATAGTTCCTCAATTAGAAGAACTTGTCAGTCGTCCTGCATTAGCACATTTTCCCTTATTATTACTTTATCACCGGTAACCACCTGTTTTAATCCACAATAGAATGCCGTCTGATTTTAGATCGGTCTTCAATTCGGAATAGTTTAGACTTGTTCGGCTTCGTGCCCTATCTCTTTCCAAATTTTTGATTCAAACACACCAAAGAAGAAATTCACAAAATACTTATGCTTCTCTGCTGAATATTATTAATTGAAGCCTAAAATAAATAAGGACAAACAAAAGTGTACCCTGAATAATCAGAAAGTCGATCATCGCTACTGCACAGGGAACGACTGCTCTCCCACGTGTTCTCCCCGGATTCCCCTTCTAGAGATCGCATTTTTTTTCCAAAACTCAAAGGAACTGCTACACTCACATAGTTATGCCTGTGCTACTCGGAAGTTCACAAAAATTCTTCTGGAAGTTTAGTTTTTGACTGGTTACAATCGCTAATAAGAGCAGCTGCCTTTCCAGAATCATAACCCTTGAAGGATAGCTGTTTTTTCATTGAACGAAGTCTAGGAGTACATAGAAGAGTGACTGTTCTCCATACACTTTCTCAGTAGCAGGGAAAATTTCTCCATCGATCTAACAGTTTTTTGATCACATTGTAGCATGTTCAAGGACCACCACATCAGACATGTTGGGGGGGTCCTGCGGCGACACGCCCAGGCTGCTTGACCTAGACGCCAAGTTTGAATTTTCCGCAGGGCACAAAACTTGCATACGTTTTTTCTGAAGAATGTCCCACTGTTTTATTTTTTCTTTTTTTGTTTTCATTGTTATCAACGATCAACTCACTCAGGAGAAAAGCTCTCAAGTATACCTGTGTATACTAGTAATCTCAACTGTCACCGGTTTGACCTCCGGTTTGACCTCAAGTTCATGCCCTACAAGCTTAATTTTTCCAAAAAGGCTGTTATTTCGAAAAGTTCTTTTAGTCGCCTCTGCAGAGCAAAAATATAAAATCATTTTTTCCTGAACTCATATATCTGCTCTTTCTACTGTACTAATTTACTACTGATCCGTTTTTTTGCGAAATATGGCGCACTGAAAAATTTGTATTTCCAGGTGAACAGGTAATTCAAGTGCTGAAGATGGCTGATGATGACGCTGAGGAGGTTTATTTTTTATACAAAATTGAAAATAACTCTATGGAAAAAAAGAAAAAAAAGATTCCATCACAAAAAAAAGAAAGATGAGCTATGAGCAATTTTGAAGCGGTTCAGATTAACTTTGAACATTCGAAAATCAAGACGGGTCACGTAGAGATTGAATGTACTGGAAAAAAATAATTTCTTTGAACAGATTGGGTAGACTAATAAGTTACGAAAGTAATTGGAGGCGGTTGTTTTATATTTAAATTTTTGAACAAAATCGTAAAAAAATGCTGTTTTTCCTCACTCACGAAACAATCAATAACCAAAAAATATTGTGAATGTGAATTTTGCGTGATCCAACTTTTCTGATATTCTCGAGTTCTGATAAATTCTTCATGAACGTCAACTCAGAAATGAATCAGAAATTGAATGAAACTAGAATGCCTCAGATTTCTTTGTTCAGATGCGTCTCATAGCGCTTTTGAAGAGCTCCAAGCTCAGTCAGACAATGGAGGAGCAACTGAGGCAAGAATTGAGGGTTAAGTTGTTGGAACGGGACTATATGAATACGATGAAGGAATTGAAGTCAAATGAGCAGGTGGAGGAAGAAGTGATGAGTGACGAGTGGATAAAGTTGGATAAGAAACAGAAGAGGAACTTAAAGAAAAGGGAGAAAAAGAAGCTTAAAAAAGAAATGGAAAAGATGAGGAAAGTTGCGATTGAGGAAGAAAAGGAAGAAGGAGAATATGAAGAGGAAAAAGAAGAAGGGGAATATGAGGAAGAAGAACCCTACGTTGAACCGGAAATGTGTGACGCTGAAACTCAGACCATTAAGTCTGAATGGTTTATGGTAAGTTCATTATTACCAGATTTGGCCATACTCCTTGTAGTTGAGTCCAGCGAGCTGGTTACTGCAAAAACCAGGGCGTGCGGGGCGTTGAACCCATGATTAGGAATTATTCTTCATGAAAACACATTTTTAACCATCAAACTGGTAATGAACCAGTATTGACCCCAATTTGATTCTTTCAGACAACATGGTTCAATGAAGATGTACCAATTCGACGTAATGGGTGCGATTTTGAGACTTATTCAGGTAAGCCTATCTGATTCCTTTTTGGACTAAATTTATCTGTTATTGGGTACCTACCATGGTAGAGAGAATAAAGGGCATTAATTTAATGAAGGGCCTATAAAGTAACACTGAAGTAAACTGAGAACATTAGAATAAGTTAGGCAGAAGAGCATGCTATTGGCCAAATGACTGCGTCGACCAATGATCGGCGCCGCGCGAATCGACTGTGATATTTGATCTATGATTGATTATCTGGTCAAACGCGTGGCATCGAAATCGATAGGCGCGCATTTCGAGATTGTCCCAAGACTTTGTCATGCTCGTGTAAATTGTTGCTCATATAAATCTCATCCATTATTTAATCATTTTACTGGTAGCACCTATGGGGCTCACTAGGCCACCTCCTACTTGTGGGACAAATCACTTTTGATAACCTCTCGTATGGAATAGCTTTCTGATTTTGCTGTACTTAGTTGTGTAACTTTATAGTAGACAATATAGTAGAGTACTTGTTTCAGTGTTGTTGAGCATTGACAACTTGAGGAAAAAAATTCGTGAAGCTCTCAGGACGGGAGATCGTCGTTCTCTCCTGTATCCCGCATCTGAAACCCTTCTCACTATGTCGAATATGTCGATTAGACGTTTCTACTGATTTCATGTCTCATTTGTTACTGTCTGTATATCAATTTTTCCAAATAAATGTGTTGTTGTTACTCCAGAAGGTCTCAGTTGTATAGCATGATTTCACATGATATTATGTGATAGCTCTCTGTTTATTCGAAATTTTGTGAGGTTTTGCTGAGACATATTTCATCCGTTGCACCCTGATTTTTGGGTTCTCGTTCTGAGTGTTTTGCAAAGTAAGCTTCCCTATTTCGTTTTAGATCAACTTGTATTTTCATCTGAAAGCCTCTTCGAGAGTAGAAGGATAACCAGCACCGGCAAGTCTACATAGTTCGTTTTAACATACATGAGAGTCTTCAAACCCCTTCGTCTGAGTGAAACTTTGCTGTAAAGCCGGTTGAGTGAATGTAAGTTACATTGCAGGGGAATTTCAACTGAATTTCAAAAAAGTATAGAAATAGTCTGTTAGTGGGAATAGAAAGGGTGACACCAGACAGCCTGACCCCTGCCTAGTGCCGTCCAGTACATTCCTACGGATTGCCCGAATTGAGAACGGGACCAAGATGGTGAGATGGATCACTAGACATGCAAACTTAATATAAATTATATATTTGGAGATTAATAGTCGTTGTACAACGTAGGGAGAAATTTCAGTAACCATTTATGTCTCCTTTTCTTATAATTGACCGCTAACCAGTCTATCGAAGAACATTTTCGATGTTTTCTTTAATCCAGGACACTTTTTTAAAATAGTAAGAACCTTCTTTTGAATAGGATTGCACAACAGAAAAAATTATGTTAGGTGGTAAGAAGGGATCTGGTCTTAAACATTTACTTGAATGCCCTTTTGACATTTGTGGACCAATTATTCTAATTTTTCTCCCTAGCAAGCCTAGATGAAACTTAGCTCGAGAAACTGCATTTTTACTAGTAGACTCCTTATTTTTATATAACGCTCCATAGAAAAAAGTGAGGGCGGGCAGTTTAAAGAGAAGTTTCTGGAACATCTTCCATTGCTCTCATTCCACAGACACCGTCCCACTCAAGTATTCGTTTACCAATTTGTATATAAGAAATGTATTATCTACAGCTTATAGATTGAGCCGTACACGTAACAATTCCTGATAGGACTGAAAGGTGAATTCATTGTGAAAATAATGTCGAGGTAACCGAGATCTTGGTAAGTGCATCGATCGATGTGGTGGATATTTGCATACACTTGTCCGGAAAAAGCTTCAGAAACCTCTTGTGAGTTGATTTTTCTTTTGTCTGGGATGAGAACATGCTCAGAGGCTATCCATGTCGTTTCAGGTCCTAGGTCTGTGTTTTGTGAGTTGATTTTTCTTTTGTCTGGGATGAGAACATGCTCAGAGGCTATTCAGAGGCTATTCATGTCGTTTCAGGTCCTAAGTCTGTGTTCTTACATTCTCACTTATTTCGCGTCACTGGCTGTCCAATGAATCTACAACCACGCGAAACGTTTGCGGGGTTTTTGTGTCCCATGAAGCCAATTTCTGTTGAAAACAGAAAGAAAGTCAAAAGGTAAATTCACTTCAACCAAATTTAGCATATATATTTTGCTCATATCAAATTTTGTGCACTTGCCCAAACCTTCTCCATGATGGCAGAATTGTCTATTTTGCACTTGTATTGCATGAAGATGGGTGGCTCGGAACTAAAGTCATGGCGGGAATTTGAAATTTTTTACAAATCCAAAATTCACTCGTAACAGGTTTTTGCTTTGTTGAGGTAAGTTTTATAAATTGCTATTGC